CTGAACTTGCTTTGGGTGTTTACATAATGTAAATAGTTTCTTGTGTGAGAGAACTAAAACAAATATGGAAACCATTCAATATCCATTATTGACATGACAGTCAGTTTTTAGAGCAAATATTTTGGGCTTTCTTGAAAAAAAAAACAACCGAGCTAAAATCAAAGAAATTGTGGAAATCAACTGGGAGATGCTTTTATGAGGACTGAGCTTGAACTTTAACTTGACTTGTGTCCAGAGGGTTTACTAAATTGGTCTAGAACTGCAGGGAAAGATGATGCTAGATTGCAGACATACAAAAGTAGATCATTAGCATATAGTGACATACCTTCAGAGTTTTTTTTACTGAAACCAAAGAGATAAAAAACTCAGGCCCAGGGCAACCTTTCTTGGTGGCCAACCATGGTACTGCAACTTAAAATCTTCTTTTTATTTTTTATTTGCAAATTTTTGAAAAGAAATCAGTGTGTAAAACACATATGCAGGTGAAGTAGAATTAGCTGATTTAAAACCTCACCTAAATTTAAATTTAGTGTTAGAGAATTCAGTAAAACTGTTAACAGGGCACCTATGACTGCAAACAGGGTTAATTAATCTTATACACCTTTAAACCATGAAAATGTAATGTTTTTATTCTTTGTAAAACTTTTGTTTTGAAAGCTATATTTAAGTGCGTGACATTATCGCAGTGTAAAGCCCATGGGAAAAGACGTTTTGTAAAAGCTAACAAGAAAGACAGAAAACGTTTTGGGTGTATTTGCTGGTTGAACAGCAACAGGGGTCTTACTGGTCTGTACAGATACCACTGCAGCATCTCTTGTTTCAGCCCAGGCTCACTAGGAATTACTACATATTCATATTGGACAATTCTGAAGTATAAAATCACATGCGTCCAATGCAAATGTTCAGCGTAAAGTAATAGTGTAGAGGTTGGGATGGTGAATGGATGCAGTCCGTCTCCTACCAACAGTCAATGCTGGCTTTCTTTGATATTTAACCATGCTGAATATCTTCTCCTTGTCTTGAATATGAATACTGAATATCACACTTGAGTGCAAGTCTGCCGGCCCTAGCTACTTTTGTTGACCCTGAAAGTCATGAGGAATTCAGTAAGGAGATCCCGCCTTACCAACCTCTCCTTCCACCCTCCCTTTCTCTCTTCTTGTCCGTTTTCCCTCCATCTCTCTAGCCATCCAACCCCTCCTCTTTCTCCTTTGCCCCGCTCGACCATCAAGAGGCCTGCAGCCACGTCAGCCTCCACATGAGAGACTATACTGCAAAGTCAACACAGAGACACACACAAGCATGGTTATTATGTTTTAAAGGCATCTATGCTCAGGTCTGAAAGAGGCATTCTTGCTTCTTAATTATATGCAGCACCCAGTCATTATTGGCAGTGATATTAGATAGTTTATTTGATCAACAGTCAGCTGACACTGGCCGGCTGGAGCCTTTCAGACCTGTGTTTACCTAAAAGGGCCAGTCTAAGGGACAAGCCTCTGTGTTTAATGCCAGATGTCAGCCTTCGACACACTCCCTGTTATCTGACACAATCCTGCAGTGGATATACCTAATAAGTGGGAGGGAGACAGCCAGAGAGAGTGATGAAGTGGGTTGATAATGACGAGGTGCGGCAGATGCAGATGTGACCAATGTATTACTACATTTTACTGCAAGATTGCCAAAACCAAATAGGCTTCACAGCAATTTTGATAATTTTGACAAATATACAATATTTATTTTACATTTATGTAGAAACTACATGTTTTGTCTTCCAATTTTCCATTATATCTGCTCATAAATGCTGATGATCATACTGTACACTGGCAGCTGCAGCACTGATCAAGGACAGGTAGATGCTATGAAATACTAGAGATAACAAGAGAGATCAATGCATGTCAGGTAAGAAGAGAAGAAATATATGGACATGCATGAAATGATAGAGAAAGGGAGTGGTGTGATGTGTAGGTGAGGCCTGGGAAGCATGTGTTATCCAGATGCTGATCATAAAGAGAGAAAGGGGAGAGGAAGCCCAACCCGAGAGCTTCAGGCAACAGAATAATGAGGCTGCAGCTTACAGTAAACTTCAAAACACGAATGAGGAGATTCGGCACAAGGCAGGAAAGAGAGATATAGAGGTATGGAGGAGTGATGAGAGGGATATAAGCCCAAGAGCCCAAATTATTGTATCTTTTTTATCATGTATATAGATGGACAGTCAGATGGACAAATAATAATCCTGTAGTTTCAGAAACATCAGACACAGTTGAAGTGTTTGGCAGGAACTGCCAAGCCTCTTTGCACTGAGGTCACAGTACAGTACAGCTGCAGTGGCTTATCTTGCCTGAAGGTTGAGGAAATTGAAGAGAAGGAGCACATAGTTGCCTCCTGAAGAAGGACGAACGTGTCTAAAATAAAAGGAGATGGATGCGCTATTGAATAGAAAGCACAAAATGAGGTATATCTTAATGTGAGGATGAATTTACTACAGGCTTGTTTTCTTGTCTGTGCTTTCCCCTGATTAAGCAGACATATAAACAAAAACACTGTGTGCATGTGCTGCTTTCACATACTAAATTCTAGCAATTTGTCTCTAATACTAAATGTATCATCCTCAATAGATGCATTTTTTACTTTTATCATCCTGCATCCTGTGATGTTTTAGCCCCAAAAGCATCATAACACAGTTGGGGTAATGCTTCTATTTTATTGACAAAATTTGCTTATTTATTGAAGTAATTGTTTCCACATTTCTATTTATGGAGGTTTGTATTCTTCTTTGTAGAAAACCTTCAACCTTTACTGACTGATTACCTAGACACAGGAAGCATGTGTCCTGCCAAGAAGAGCCTGTAAAAATACGAGATTTACATTCCGTCTGATTTTGTGAGCCAACAAAAAAAAAAGCCTCATTAACATTTTAATGTGATATCTGTAAAACAAAGTTAGTCCGATCATTTATAAGTTTGGAACAGCTCTTAATGAGCTCTGTGAGAAATTAACCAAAATGTTAATTCTTTATCGATGAGAACATTTTAGGACAATTCTGCACGTTTTTAGTTTATGTCCAGCAATAAAATAATGTGATGCAAACACAAATTCCTCTTTTTCTTTCTTTCACCCCCCCCCCTTTTCCCCTCTATTCACCACTCCTCCTTGCTCGCTCATATGTACTCTTGTATATATACTGTATGTTCGCACATACTGTACCATGTATTGTCCTTTACTTTCCTTCCCATAAGTTCCTTCCATTTAAATCCCTGCCTGGAGCCGAGTCTGTCATTGGAAGATGGCGTGTAGGAACACATTTATTTCCCTTAGCGATGTGCAGTTTAGCAGTTAAAAAAGTGTGTAAATATGTGTGCACATCTACTCATTACCAACGAGTCAGGTGTTTCGGTGTGTTTCTAGCCTACGATAAAATAAAAACTTCCTCTTATGAGCACTTATGCACAAACGTACACATGTATGTACTTGCATACGTGCATGTTTTAACCTTTTACACACACTCAGACAGACACATTTAAAAGTGCAAACCACCACTTGTGCAACAGATAAATCACCAGTCACACTGTTGTAAAAACAACATTCCCAGGACACAAAAATTAACATCCTTATGTTTTGTCACACATCTGCAAGTGTAGGCACGCACACACACACACACACTATTAAAATTATTGATCACTGGGTCTCCTTCAGGCCTCTCTCCAGCTGCTGGTTCTGTTTGATGAGCTGTTTATCAGTCTGACTGAAGATTATTGAAATTCCAAACATAAGAGCGCTCGACCTCTTTCTGACTAATCCGAAAGTGTGTAAAACAAGACTGTGCACGTTTATGTGTGACTTCTGCATTTGTTTGTGTGATGATATAAGCATCTGTGTGCGTGTCTGTGTGAAAACAGGTGTTTCTGTATTGCTATTTGTGCTAAATGTGGGTAAATGAAGAGTGTCAACACTGTTATCTTCTATGTTGAGAGTGTACTTACTGAAAATAAGAGGAGACGGTGGACAAGTGTGTGTAAGTCTATCTATGCCAGTCTAAAATTGGGTGCGATTTTGGAGAGTGTACAGCGAGGAATATTACAGCAAGCAGTGGAAAACTCCATCTCACTAAGAGAGTGTGTGTGTGTGCTTGTATGCACACATTCAAGTACAGGCCCCTGCCTCACAATCTGTTGACCTTTCCTCTTTAAAAGGCAATTTAGATGCATAGACAGGTGACATTTCAGATGTGTAGTTACGATGCACAGTGATACAGGCTCTTTTACAGTTTTAATTTCACTAGCACAAATTCATATATACACACACTCACCCCTCACATACAGTAATCACAGTGTCGTCTCTGAGTGGAAATCTCTGTGAAGAAACAGCGATGCAGAGTGCAAACCACAGCAGTGACAAATCAGCAGCTGGACCTGTGCTAACGTTTAAACTGACATCATTTGCTTACATTTACTGTATGACTGTCTGTGTATACTGGTGTTCTGTCAGTCTGAACAATATTTCTGTCAAGTTGTTGTAAAATACCTTCAGCTCATGGACGTCCTTGTCCAGCACCCACAGATATTGTTAGAGAAGTGGCAGCTGTCTCTAGAGTTATGTCTGTCTGTGTGGTATTACCCAGAGTGCTGCCTCAGAGTAAAGTCTGTCGGCACTTTGACTCCTCAGACTTTGTCCGTGCTCCAGGAGTGAAGTTAATTAGGCAGTAAGGAAGCTTTACAACGCTGAGGCGGCCTGCTGTAATGTCAGACAGTACTTGCACAAATCTGGAAGCATGAACGTCTTCTTCCCTGTGTTACAACCTCTTCCTCAGGCTAATGACAATTCGCAGCATTCTGTGTTATGTATAACTCCACATTGTTTCTGCACAGACACAGCTGTTTACATCGCGAGTGTTTAGCAGATGCATTTCAACAGGCAGCGTGAAACTGTGGCAGCTCTTTCATGCGACGGATGGCCAAGTTTCCTTTGTTTGAATGACATCCTGTGTTTTGGGGTTTCAGGGCAGCAACAGACCATAATATGGATAACACCACTGCCATGCTAAGAGAATGGCTGAAAAGAGCACAGCATGTCTACCACTATGTGGAGTGGAGACCCATGGAGGAGCCACGGTGAGTCACAGTTTCCACAGGAATCATTTATTAGCATCTATTCAAACCAATTCAGACTTCTTTCCTGGAGTTGTTCTGGTTTTCTTACATAATTATTGCTTTCTAAAAGGATGTTAAAGACCAATCAAATACCCTTTATCTCTGTATCAGGTCCTACACAGATGAGTGGGGTCCGAAGCACTGGCCTCCTTCAAGGTTCAACCATGTGATGAAGCTGAGACAGGCAGCGCTCAAGGCGGCTAGGGAACGATGGGCAGACTACATACTAGTAAGATTTTTTAATGTTATGATGAATGAGCCATAATTCAGTCAGAGACATGTCAAAGCAATACATTTTAATTAAAGTTAAGTAAAAAAAAATGCTTAACATTTTGTAGCACTTTCAGGTCAGACTCTATGTTGATGAAAAAATAAATGCTGCCATTAGTCTTTGTTGTCTTGAAATGATTGTATTTTATTCTTAAAAATACAAGTATCCTGAAACAGACCTCACACAACAGTCTAAGAGGGGCTTGCATGGCTGTTCTTAGTTATCTAGTTGATCCAGCATAACATGTAATTAAGACATGGTCCCCAATCTCTCCAACTAGACAGTCTGAACCTCCTCACATGCTTGGCACAGTATAAAAGGTCAGTTAACCATGAAAATGCAGAAATATATACATTTTATACTTTAAACTACTTTATTTATTTATACTTTATTTATGGAAGCCGTGAAAGGCAAGTGAAGTGACATTTTGTGAGAACAGGTGATATGTTTTCTCAGGAGCATTAAATGATGAAATGAAAAAATTAACTTGTTTTCACAGATAAAAAAAAAAATTATGGTAGTTTTGTATCACATTGTGTATTCTTAATTTTAAAATACATTTCCAGTGCTCATCAAGCAAAACTGTGTAACTTAGTAACTTTTAAGTAAATGTCCATATCTTGATTAGAATTAGAAATAGGGACAAATTTAATAAACCACAAGTCTCTCCAATTTAATTTCAGAACTGATATGATATGATCAGTGCCTTGACCTCTCTGTCCCTCTCCTCTCTGTAGTTTGTAGACAGCGACAACCTGTTGACAAACCCCCGTGCGCTCAACCTGCTGATGGCTGAAAACCTGACCCTGGTGGCTCCCATGTTAGAGTCGCGCTCACTCTACTCCAACTTCTGGTGTGGCATCACCCCACAGGTAAAGTTTGTTTCAGTTCATACATCTGCCCTTCCACTCAGCGAGATGTCTTACCTGAACCAGGTGTCCTTCACCTATCTGTCAGGGTTACTATAAGCGAACCCCAGACTACCAGCCGATCAGGGAGTGGAAGCGGCTCGGCTGCTTCCCTGTTCCAATGGTGCACAGCACCTTCCTATTAGACCTCCGTCGTGAATCCAGCAGGGACCTGGCCTTCTACCCTCCTCACCCAGACTACAGCTGGGCGTTCGATGACATCATGGTGTTTGCTTTCTCGGCACGTCAAACAAGTCAGTGTGAAAACTCAACTCACAACAAACGACTACATTTATTGCAGGGCTGCAGATGCCTCATGACAGCTTCACTTTGAAGAACCGAGGACTGTCAGTGACTTCTTAAATTCATTAGTCGTTTTTACAAAGTGGTTTTAATCTGCATAATAAAACTGTTTCTTGGTTTTATGCACATGCACAAGATTAAGGCAGATTAGCGAAAGAGAAAAATGGATCCATGTGTTTGTCTTGACTGTTTGTAAGTGTGCAACAATATTAGTGTTTGTGGATTTGTGTTTGATGTGAGTAATCATCCGTAGGGAACAAACAGCCATTAATTTTCCATTCCATAGACAACAAGGGTGTGCGGCATTTGCCTGCCAACTAAAAAGTAAACATATAAAAGCATTCACACAAACACAGAAATTCAAACACAAAGACACTAACAGAAACACAGAGGAATAGTTTCTTCCTCTATAACAATGGCTAAAAGTACAGATACATTTACAGATAATAGGGAGAATATTTCACTTTTGAAAGAAGAGATAATTCATTATTCTTCTTACAAATAAAATGTTGAGTTTTTACGTACTCACTCGGTCTGGTATGACTAGTAGCTAACTGCTGGCTAATGTTAGATGATTTTCCTGTGCAATTGACATCACTAATAAATACACTGACTTGTGAATTTTCTCTACATCTGCTACTGCCACACCACATTTTAGCATTCACTATTTTCCTTTTAAATGACATGGTTAAACCCATGTCATGCTAAATCCAATGATCAAATAAAATAATCAAGTTATGAAACAGACATTAACAGACAACACACATTATGGATATTGAGGAGTTTTTCTTTTCTTTTTGTGCTGTTTGCAGTTTGTGGGACAAGGAATGAGGACTCAGGGTGGTCTAATATGCATGTTTATTTGAAATGTTTGGGTCGAGAGGTTGTATTTAAATAACCCTGTGTATGTGTGTGTGTTTGTGCATGTGTGCGTTTCAGATGTGCAGATGTATGTTTGTAACAGAGAGCACTACGGTTTCCTGCCCGTCCCTCTCAAAGCACAGCAGAATGTGGAAGATGAAAGAGAGAGTTTCATACACACCATTACGGAGGCTTTGAGTGAGTGCACACACACACACACACACACAATCACGTTCCAGCTGTTGTGACTTCACTATCCGTCACTCTCTGATTATTTTACCTCTCATGGTTGTTTCTTCTAACTTCTTGACCTCCGTGATCCTTCGTGATTGCATCCTGTCAACCCTCTTTGCTTTAATCCCTCTCCTCTGTACTGTCTCCTCCTCCCTCTCTCTGTTTTTACAACCCCCACCTCCCTCTCACTTTCTCACCCTTTTGACCTCCTCCACTGCTCTTCTCCCTGCTCAGATTCTAAATAAACCAAATTAAATAAACCACCACAATCCAGAGGAAATTCAGTTATTTTATAATCCTGTTTTTGCTGTCTTAACCTTTCGCCTCCTTTTCTCTCTCTGTCAACAGTTGACCACGACATTGAGCCCTCTGAGCACCTGTTCTCTCTGCCATCACCGCAGGACACGATAGGCTTTGACAAAGTGAGTTGAGTGTGATGAACTCCTCAACTTCTGTCCCTCTGTATATTTGCTGTTGATCAGCATCTCCCACGTCCTGTTTTTGTTGCAGTTTTTCTCTTTTCCTCGTGTTTCCATGTTCCAATTCTTCTCTTTGACCCCAACTTCTGTTTTTTGTTTCTTTGGCTTTCGACTAAATTAACATGTCTCCATTTTTTCCTGTTTAAATGTTTAGATTTTCCTGATTAATCTGAAGCGTCGGCTGGACAGAAGAACCAGGATGATGAAAACAATGGCTACGCTTGGTCTCCATGCCACGCTGACAGATGCAGTGGACGGCAAGTAGGTCACAAACACAAGGCCGTGCATGCGCTTGACAAACCGAACTGAAGGCTGATTTAATCTCCTCACACTCTCTGTGATAAAGTCTTGTGAAGTTTAATTTATTCTGCACCGCAACAAAAGCAAGCATTTTTCTACCTGAAACATTTGATACTGCGCTCCCTGAATGTCAAATAGTAAGATAATGTCATCCTGTCTGTCACTGCTTTCCCTGACATCTACATCCACACATTCTGTCTTAACAGTGATTTGGTATTTGTAGCAATATGCTAGACTTGCTTTCCCTCCTCAGGCTTACTTTAAGCCACTGCAGAGAATGTCCTAATCCTTCTTCTAGCCATTGTTTGTCTGGCAAAATGTATTACTTGTTGCAGCTTGCTGAGTTTGACTTTGGTGTATTTTGCAGGGTCTGTTTTCACTGCTGACAGACTGAGCTGCATAATGACAAGTGTAGTTATAAGAAATATCCTCTTGTATATTCCCGGTACTACTACATTCCCTTTCTCCCTCTCTCTCAGGGCTCTTAATTCGTCCCAGCTGCAGGCCTTGGGAATAGAGATGATGCCGCACTACAAGGACCCTTACTCTGGTCGAGTCCTGACCCGAGGGGAGATCGGTTGCTTCCTCAGCCATCACTCTATATGGAAACAGGTGAGAGCAGGGATGTGGGAAAGAAGTTTTGTGTAGTAAACAGGTTGAACATCTTGTGAAAGCACAGATTGAACCTGCTGAAGAGTGCAGGAATCCAAATAGCCTCCGTGTTATGGGTTTGCCTAAAAAGACAGGAAAGACAGGAAACTATTATTTAAAATCCCATTATTAATCAAATCTATAGTCTATATTACAAAAGTTATATTTTAAGTCACATTTATAAATCAACTTCCAGGCCAACAAAAATCAGCTGGTTTAGTGATTGCTCGTCGTTCTTAATTATGTTAATAACCTAATATCCTGAATCATCACACTAATAAATAGATGCCTATGCACTGCTGCAACACACAGTAAGCTATAGCTGAACTAGCTGTAAGCTAGTTAACGCCATAGGTAACTTCAGCCACAGCGGTGAGCAAAAATAATGCTTTCTGGTGAACAAGTGATTTCCTCTTTGCTGCTGCCACCTGCTGTCTGTCTGCCTGTCTGTCTGTCTGTCTGTCTGTCTGTCTGTCTGTATGTCTGCCTACCTCTAGTTTGCATTTCGTGTTATAATTCTTTAGTGCATATTATACATAAGATTATCTAAGTAAGCACAGGACAGTCATCTCCAGGAATAATGTAAAAGAGAGGAACAATCTGCTGTTGTTTCATTCTAACATGAGTGTTTGTATTTCCTGGCCATCAGGTGTTGGAGCGCGGCCTCGAGAAGGTTCTTGTTTTAGAGGATGACGTGAGGTTTGAGCCCAGGTTTAAACGACGGATGCAGGCCATAATGGATGACATAGACAAAGCCCAGCTGGACTGGGACCTCATGTAAGAACACCCACCCATCCAAGCACACACTCACATTTTTTCTTCCAAATGAATTTGTTAAGACTAAAGATTTGCACCTATTTCTGCGAAGCCTCGTCAACACTCTCTTTCTGTCTCCCCTCTAGCTACGTGGGGCGTAAGCGTATGCAGGTGCAGCAGCCCGAGCAGTCTGTGGATGGTGTAAACAACCTGGTTGTGGCCGACTACTCCTACTGGACACTCGGCTACGCACTGTCGCAGCAAGGAGCCAAGAAGTTAATGGCTGCCGATCCCTTCACAAGGATGCTGCCCGTCGACGAGTTCCTGCCTGTCATGTTCAACAAACACCCCAAGTCAGTCTTTACTTCAGTTTTCTTTGATTTAAAATTACAGTGCTGCATAAATGTAATGTGATATAAAGGCACTGAGTTGTATTTAAGACATGTAATGCAGAAAACCACAAAGCTACAGAAGTATTTCTGTATAATGTTCACAAACACAGACAGAAAAGACCCTTTTAGATGGGAAAATATTTACTGAGGACCACAAATAGAGGATTGCAGGTGCAGTCTTACATACGAAAATATCAGGTAATAGAATAAACAGTAGATGCAAAAGGAAAAGCTACATTTACAGTCAAATGTAAAATGTAGGCATGCATGGATACTGTGCATGCACAAAAACAGACTCGTGCTGAGGAGCTACTGTATGGTAATTATCTATACATAGACACAAACACAAGCCTGTCAGAGACATTTTAGACTGCAGCATACTGTGTAGTTTTCTAGTTTGTTCTCTGGTGGTAGACCACAACCTCCATCCAGTTCAACTCCAAATAACGTTCCCGATATGTCTCTATGTCTATCCTTTTCTCCTTTCCCCTGATTATGTCCCTCTTTCTTTCCAGCACCTCCCCCTACTACTTCTTCTTCTTCTTCTTCTTCTTCTTCTTCTTCTTCTTCTTCGTCTGTGCTCCCTCACACACAGGCATGGATTGTTCTTGGGGTTCAGTGGGTACAGTGCCTTGCACAGGACACACAATGCCTTTTTTTCTCCTTTGAGGCTTCCAGTCGTGCCCTGCTCTCCTCCACCTCCACCTCCACCTTCACCTCCACCCCCACCTCCTCCTCCTCTCTTTCCCATTTTCTACCTTTTTATCCTTTAAGTCAGCCCTCAAGCCTTCCCAGCTCGCTTCTCATTCTTCATTTGTTTTTGTTTTTTAACTTCTTTTACATTCCCTCTCTCTTTTACATTACTTTTTTTGCACACCTACTCCCTCCCTGTGTCACCCACTTCTCCCCCTTCCTTCTCTCTTTTTGAGGAATGTGGGCCAGCACAGCTCTTCCTGCTGGTTGGAGAAGGGGACAGGATTCCCATTGATAGAGGTCTGAGTGTGGGGGTGGGGTAGAGATGGACACTGTGAATGTGTGTGTGTGTGTGTTACTATATAAATACATGGAGATGTGTGTCCAGTGTGCAGTGTATAGTGTATAGATTACTAGTGAATACTCTGTGTGTGTATCCAACAGTAAGAGGTGAGTTTGTTCAAAAGTGAAAGAAATAGGAAATGTGGAAAGGTAGCAAGGAAAATATGTAACATGTATATATATCATATAAATTAACAGCAGGGGATTATGGGCCCTGTGTAAATTATGAATAGTATGTCAGATATGTTGTTTTTTAAAGGGGGAGGGGGTTGTATTGTGAGATTCTCTTCAGACAAACTTCAGTTTCTGCTCAAAAACACACAAACAGAAGCGGGAGAAATACATAACAGTAAACCAAGTGAAAAAAGGCCTCAATGCATGAAAAATATGTGTGAGTTTGTGTTTGTTGGGAGCAGCAGGTCAGCTCCTATGGGCTCTAATAAAGGTGTGGGGTTTCACTGCCCTTGTGGGGCGCTGACAGGTTTTAAGCAGGCGATCAGACGGCAGGGTGCTGACCTCTGTGGTGACCTCTGTCTGCACGAGTGCGACTCCGCCTGGCTGACGTGTCACAAACAGCCCTCATTCCTCCCTGTGACCCTGCTTCAGGCCGACCATCACAGGCTGATACTAGAGTTTGGTGCTGTTTACGGTTTGACACAATAAGATGGTAGCTTACATGATGACAGATGTGATTTTGATCTGCCAGGATTAAATGTTTTTCTGATTTTCTTTATGATAGCTGTAAAGTAACTGAGTATGTTTACTCAACTATTGTACTTAAATGACATGTTGAGGTGCTTTACTTGTGTACCTATATTTTAATATTATATACCTTTATTTATCTATTTAAGACTACAGCTAACTGTTTCCATTATTGCTTCATTTGCAGATTCTTTTCTCATTTGGTCTATAAATCAGAAAAGAGAGAGGAAAGTGACCTTGCTTGTTTTGTCCGAACAGCAGTGTAAAACCCCCAAATCTTCACATTACTGTAACATATGACAGAGAAAAGCATCAAACTGCTAATTAACTGTCTTTTGATTGATTATATGGTATTGGTTTTAGCTCTAATTCTGCTGGTGCTTTTCATTCAGCTGCATTTATCAGGCAGTTGTAGACACTAGTGACTTCAAATCAAAGCTTCATATATTTGACCTATAACACATATGATCAGCATCTAAATTTGAAGCATTGTTATATAACTACTCAACACTATATGCATAAGTTCAGTTGGGTCCACTTAAACCAAATAAAGCATGTGCTTTTATAAACAATATTACTTCTCTATTATTTATTTGTTTTGTTTATTTAACAGTTATAATCCACATTCATAAAATACAGCTGTAAATCCACCAGAGTTAGCTTAGAGTCTGTAGTCCCCGGACAGATAAGAATAGTGTGTAACATTTAGGAGGATCTATTGGTGGAAACGGAATATAATATTCATAGATATGTTCTCATTAGTGTATAATCTACAATCTAACGTTACATAGGTAGCGAGTCCTCTTCCACAGAGGCTGCCATGTTGAACCGCCATGTTTCTATAGTTGCAGAACAAACAAACCAAACACTGGCTTTTGATAGGGCCTTTTTGCCATAGTTTTGCCGACACTGTAGTTTATCCTACATGCTTGGAACAGGGAGTGAGGTGAGGGGTTATAATTTGCAAACACATCGCCAGATGCCACAAAATTCTACACACTTGTCCTTTAATAGAAACATCATTCAGAACCTATACTGCATTGTCAGGCACTATTTAAAACATGCACCACAGAGGCTCATAATGAAAATGCACATGCAAAACAAACAAATGAGGGATAATAATGTTTCATTTTGACTAAATTATGCTGCAGTGGAGAAAAGTATCCTGTTCCCCTATTTGATATCCTGTAAATTTGCTGTCTTGGCTGAAATTAAATTCCAGTACATTGTGTATGAACACCAGAACTTCCAGTTAACTGGATTTGATGCGTCAGAAGTGTAGAGAAATGCAAAATAGTCACATGAACAACAATTAGTGAGCACTCTGTCGATGTTTGGCCTTCCTTCCCCTTCCCTTTGGTGACCTTTGGTATAAAACAGTCAGAGACAGAGTGAGCAGGTAATCCTCACCATGGTGGTAGCAGATCACATTTGCCAGAAAAGTAACTAACAAGTGATATTTGATTGGAGTCTAGCACTAGTTTGCAGCCAGTTGACACTCACATATCAGGGCAGAGAACTGAAGTTACACTTGCAGTAGTTAACTGGCATCAGCTGAGTCACAATCACTGTTTCATTCACAGCTGTGGCAAACAGCTGACTAGTAACAACCAATCATATTCATGCAGGTGTACAGTACTGTCAAAACCACACTGTTTGCTCACTCCACCTTCCTAACCTTGTCCTTGTGTGCTATATTTTTATAGTGTTGTTGATTTAACTAAATTTGATATTCATAATTTTTGCTGTTTTCTTTGAGAACTCCCTCCCTCTCTGTTTTCTATGATTGTAAACAGGGTTTTATGCATCACCTTGGGCTCTGGAAAATTGTTACAGCCATTTTTCTAGTATTTTATCGCTACATTTATAGTTAAGTTAATCATTACTCACTGTCATAATCATATTTAAATTGCTTCCAGTGTCCATAACAACTCTTTTACTTCTTTGTCCCTCATCCTCCTCAGCACTGAGTACATGTCTTACTTTGAGCCGCGGGACTTGAAGGCCTTCTCCGTGGAACCGCTGCTCATCTACCCCACACACTACACCGGAGAGCCGGGCTACATCAGCGACACAGAGACCTCTACCATCTGGGACGACGAAGCCGTGGCCACGGACTGGGACCGACAGCATGCCCGCAAGACGGCCCAGCAGGGTCGCATCCGCCCTGTGGCGCAGAACAGCGTCACTGGAGATTCACCGCCTCCCGCAGCTCGGGCCTCGCGGGATGAACTCTGATACAGAGACCTGAAACTCGGAGAGAGAGACTCATGTTTACTACACTTTGTACACACTGTGAACGTCATGTGTACACACACTTGAAAAGACACTTGAACTACAAGCTGAGATACTGTACATTCATTAACACACACACACATACACACACAAACACACACACACACACATACACACACACCACACACACTGGTGTCCAAATGGATAAAAGCAGAGTTAAGATGTAAGTCTACTCTGCTGCCTGATGAAGGGACACTGCTGAGGAGAGGAAGAAGAGGAAGAAGAAGAGCAGAAGCTGGGACGAGGGCCAGCGGGCCTTTGACAAAAGCTTTATTTATTCCCCATGTGCCTCCTCTGTGCATGTGGAGACAGTTACGGCCTGAGAAAACTTAAGCAACACATGGAAGACAGCTAACATTATTTGCAGGACGTGAAAGAAAAAAACGATCAAAAAACATTCTCACAAATAAATTTTCATATTGTTTTTGAAGATTATTGTTATTTAAAAAGAACAGATGGGTTTTGTTTTTTTTAACGGACAGCCGAGGAATAAAGGAATCTTAAAGCTGCCTGAAAACAACTCTTAAGTGTGCGTGTGTGTGTGTGCCCTATGTGTGTGTGTGTGTGTGTGTGTGTGCGGGTGTGCACATTGACATATTTACAGAGCTAAACGTGTGGGAGGAAGGGAGGCTGACATACCATACCCAAGAGTGTCACTGCTTCAGATGATGTCAGACACACACACACACACACACACTGATAGTACAGGCCTTTTTTGCCAAGCAGCAGGGCAATAATGGAAGTTATTAGGCTCAGTGTTTCCATCATTGCAGATATCTCACTTGCACAGCGGGCTGGTCCTGCTAGTTAGCATTTCATAGCATCAGTCATACATTACATGTAGCCTGTAGGATGTATGATTTGTCCACTGCAGACCCCTGCTTTCAGAATTTCTGTGTGTTAAATTCTTTGGAAAAAACTGCATTAATGGATTATTCATGTCCTCAACGCAGGCTTGTTCTTCGTTCAGTTGTTGCACTGGGCGGAACCAATAAAACAGCTTCTCTATTTCTGTGTTTTCACTCAGTCTGCAGCATAAACCCATCATTTCACAGTAATTTGGATTATTATTATAGTTACTGTATTGTGTTGCAGAGTTTGTAGACAGAAGCAAATGAAAAGAAGAGATCTCAGGCCAGATTTAAACCTATGACAGCAAAACATCAACAAAACTGCACTCTTTATCTATGTGGGACTACAATCGAACTTTCATTTGGTAATTTACTGTACTATATTGGCTGATTAGCAAGCATAAACATGCTGCTGCTGTTCACATGAACAAAGAATGGAAGACAGACTTTTCCCAAATTAAACCCTGTGAAAATAAGCTCTGTGAAATTTCACAAAACGGTGGTAAAACATGAAAGGAGCTGCAACCTCCCAATAAATTCAAGGTTTGAGCCTTTATCATGTAGAGGACGACTCAGTGGGTGTGTTGGCTCCCACTGTTCACTGGCTGAGAGAAATTCTGCTCACTGTTTTATAGTTCCTGTCTGCTGTTGGATCTGACAGAGAGAGAGAGGGATGGAGAGGAGGGAGTGGGAGGTGGTGGGGGTTATAGGTAAGGTGGATGAGAGAGAGAAATGAAGGGAGGGAGAAGAGGATTGTTGGGCACACAGGAAAAATATTTAAATATTAATATCCTACAGTTGGGTTGAGATGTGAGACAAAATCTCGCTATCTGGTATCCTCATTATTAGATCCGATAAAAACGGAATGTTATTGCTAATCCTGCCTCATGCAACATTGACCAGACCGTACGTAATGCTACTGTCATGGCTATAAGTGAATTGCTTTATCAGATGCTTCATTTTACAGGTTTGTTTTCTCAGGTAATGCCCCTTTTACATAGTGTGATGCCAAGAGAAGGATTACGCTGCTGTCTGCTGGTCATGTGTGGAATGGCAACTGGATTGTACAGATTTTGCTTTATGAGGCCCTGTCAAATTATACAGCTCATATAATATGATACATGATAGTGTGTGTTATGATTTAGTGTTGGTCGAAATGAAAATATTATAAGTAATAAAATGTTTTATATTGTATTTGCATGAAATGGAAATTTGTCTCAGGCAACTGGCTGGTGAATGCTAGAGATTTCAGTATGCATTTTCACATACTCTTTCTCAGCTCTGTACACGCTTCCAAATACATCATTTGTAAGAACTGCAAACTTCATGTCCTAACCTTCCTCAGTGGCAAATACAGTCTGTGTCACATACAACTGAGGCAGAAGGACATAGCTGCTTATGGACAAGTCTGTTCACAGCTACTGTGTGGACTTGACAGTCACATCCCTCTTTCTCCCTCCTCCTCTTCTTCTTCTACTTCCTTTTTTCTGCTGCCATACAGAGCACTCGGGTAAAAGAAACATAGCCATATCTAATACAGAATAATTATTCTCAGACTTGAATGTGCCAAAATCAATCACATTACTGTATATTGGCTTAAGGAACTGTGTATTTACTGCAGGTTTTCAACACGACGGTTGTTGATGAAATATTGACCCACAGTATCCTACACTTTGTTAATAATAAGTTAGCCTTGGGAGTTGGAGAGGAATACTGACTGTCTGTCGTAATACTTGACCTGCATTCATGTTATATGTGTGTGTGTGTGTGTGTGTGTGTGTGTGTGTGTACAGTAAGATAAGATAGTCGCAACAGAGTGTGCAAACAGCCATAGTTTACTGGGACAGCATCTGAAATATTTATCAGATCAAGTCTATTCCATCACTTTCTGATTGCTTCTCTTCTCATTTGAAACTGGAATGGTTTCCTATCTTACCAGCACACACCACATGTTTACTTAAGTCAGTTCAAATTAGAGACTTAGCCAAACCATAACCCCTTACCCTAACCTTGACTTTAACCACTGACCCAAAAATCAGCCTTTTCTGAATTGAATGGTCTTTAGTCTGAAATGTGTCCCTAGAGCCAGCACACAGATATAGACAGATGCCATTTCTGAAGCATGTTGTATTTTAAATGGTTCTTTCTGGTTCTTTCCTTCCAGGTAACTCATTTGCATTCTATATGAAAATCAAATTTCAGAGAATTTAACCATCACACTGTTCATCATCCTCATGGGGAAGTAATCTGACTACTAATCAAACTGTGCATGAAATATTCATTATCAAGTAGCAATAACATAGCGATGACAAAGTTAAGATATACAATATATCTGGAGATATCCTGTGAACATTTGAGAGAAATCCTACATGACTGACTTGTAACACCCACAGTACTTCCCAGCTCACTAACTAGTCTCAGCAAAGGGCAAATGAATACATATTTATACAGCTTTATTATTTCATATAAAATATGTTAAAATCAAAGGGACTTATCTGGGGCTTGTGTTAAAACTTTCAACGATTTAAAGAACACTAGTAGGATTTAGTGGCATCTATAGGTGAAGTTGGAAATTGCAACTAACTGACGTATTTGATAGCAACATGGGGGTTCAACATGGTAGACTCCACTGAAAGCATTTATACATTTATTTAAATTTATTTCAGACTGTTGGTTGGACAAAACAAACATGATGAAGGTGTCACTTTGGGCTTTGGGTAATTGTTTCTCACTATTTTCAAACAATCAATTAACTAATGGCAGGTGATTCTACTCTAAGGAAAACATACCTATGGACATTATATTC